GCCGGTTGCCGGGGGGCGTCGGCGTCGGGGGGCGGTCGAGCGCTGCGGGGGGCTGCCCGGTCTCTGGGCAGTGGGAGACGGAGCGAGCCAGCCAGCAGCCGGGATAGAACAACAGGCGCAGCAAGCGGGAGGGCCCTCGAGCACTAAAACCGCCACGTTTCCAAATTCCCCTCACCCCCAGCAAGTTTCAGGCCAGTGTTACCGAGTTTGGGGCTGGTTCGGTTGGTTGTTTACTTGAAAATAAATGTTTGTTTGTTTGTTTATGTGAAAATAAATTCGAATTTAAAATCGTAAACCACCGCGGTTTTGTGAATAAATTGAATTCTTCAAGGAGGAATGAATAGACGATGTCAACCTTACTTGATTGCAATGGTGGTGAATATTGGGATAGAAAAAAAGATTAAGGATCTTCACACCTACTTTAGTCAGTGATGTTACTTCCTCCTGCATTAGCTTTGGTCTCTGCGGATCCGTCTAAGATAATTCATCGTTTTCTCTGGACAAAACCACAGTTTAAGTGGCAGTTAAGCCATTAGCACCAGGTTTGTTTGTACTTTATAAATTTGGGTTTGCTTACCTATTCCGTACTGTGTTCTCATGCACCTTCTCCAGGAGGGTCGTTTGGGGTTTTGTGCTATGTTGTTATAGGAAGAACTGCATATATATAATTTTTTAAGTTTGTATTCCAAAGGTAACTCTTCAAGTGTTAATAACAGTCAAATTAATGAAATGCAGTTTTTCTGTGTAGAGTCAGAAATAAGAGCTGTAGTAAAAATAAGCTTTCCAGCTTTTACTTTATACATATTCTGGTACTAGTTCTAAAGTGAGTCTTACTTCACTGAGAGAAAGAGAATACCACAAAGCTTAGACACAGAATGATAATAACCATGTTATGGTGCTCTGAACACCTATGGACACAAAAACTAGAGAATAAAACAAAAGGAGAATAGCTAGAGTTTTTCCTAAAGTCATCAAAATTTAAACAGAAAAAAACCCCTAGAAAGTTAGGAAGAAAGACCTAGCAGCAATAATAAGTACCAGATTAGACATGAATTTTCTTAAGTAAAACCCCAGGATTTTGATTATGGATGTCAAAATCATGTCACTGAGCAAAAGTACTCCTCTAAATGTAGTTTTAGTGCAGCTTTACTATAAGTAGTATTATCTGTCCTGGATATCTGTCATTGAAAGTACATGAAAATACGAAATTCCAAACCCTAAAATATCACTGATGAGAAAAGTAGAATTAAAGGAATAAAAATAAATAGGTGTCATAGAATTTAGCTTAAGCAATCTCTATCCAACTTAGTTTTCTGTAGTAATGACGAATTACACAAGAGGGAGCTATGATCTGGTAAATATATCACAACTTTTTATGTTAAGAATTTTCTGTTCAGTATTCACATAAGAAAAAACACATGGTGATAGCAAGTGCTGTATTTTTTTTCCCAAAAAAGGATAGAGGTAATCTTTTTACATTTTGCAGAAGATATTTAAAGCCACAGTATTATCTAGCAATTTTGTCAAAAATATTTGTCAAATATTTTAGTATCCTTTAGGTGACTATTAACGTATTTCTGCTTTATTTACAGGTAGAGACTGGAGCCGAAAAATTACTTTGCAAATAAGAACGAGGCATCTTTTTTGGAACCAGTTGTAGCATCCCAACTCAAATCTATTTCACTCTTTCAAAATTGAGTTAGAAAAAATAAAGTAAACAGCTATTCGGCTACTTTTTTCCCCCCACAGAATTGTCTAAGAATTCTGAGACATTCTAAGACATGCCAAGCTTCTGGCATTTTAAATAATTCTAATTTTCAGAGGCTATATGGGTGAAATCCTGTCCTGAATGAAGTG